CCAACATCCAGACGTCTAGATCGATTTTCGGTGTTTTGTACTACGAGTGCAAGAACCGCCAAAGTTCTACGCATGCTCGCGCCATTCACGATTCGGGGCCGCTGTCTGGGCGGCGGCAACAGAGGAAGTCTGAAAGAGGTCAGTGCTCAGGAACATGTATACTAATGGTAATGAATATTACGAAGAGGTTGAACAGCTCAAAACGTTTTTACTGCTTCTCTGCTATCCAATATTCAACTGTTGGTTGGGCTGAGGCCTAAATGAAAGTATTGTACTACATAACGATGACCAATTTCCTTAATTTTAAGAAATTCACCGAAAACGTTCGTTATTGATGGCTGCCAAACAAATACTAAACAACGCAGCGTCTTCAAACTTGGAACATATGCTTTATAGATTGTGTACTTTCTAATACAACTATTTTTTTCGAAAAACCACAGCCATCTCTAGGTCAGGCCGGGTACTTCTGGGCCAGGACATATCGGTGTCCATTTTAACCTCCAACAAACCTATCGAAGCAGACAGCGGAACTGTGTGACCTGACATTATTATATCCGGTACGGAGATATTCATTTTCTTGGAGAAAACCGATGCCTGGGTTTTTGTGGCATTGAATTGAACCTGGTTACTTACACTCCATTTTGAAATCATTTCTAGATCCTCATTAAGATGTCTGCCGATGTCTTGGATTCCAAATGGAATGACGAGACAAGTGTGTTGTCCTCAGCAAAGCAATATATTGGATTCTTGGTTTTCTCTAATAAGTCATTGATTAACAATGAAAAGAGGGTTGGAGACAAAATGGATCCATGGTAAACACTAGCGTTGATGTTGATATTGAGAGATCCATCGACGGCCACACAAACCCTCATGCCACACACGGTCAAAGGTCTTAGAGATATCATGCGCGACAGCTCTCGACCCGACCCGAAGGTGACATCAAATCTGGTCTGGGAATGCTATGAATAGAATAGAAATAGAATAGAAATTTATTTATACTGAACAACAAACAGAATGGTTTCCACTTACATGATGTACAGTTTTATCGAAAGTTCCTTACATATAGTTTTCATTGAATACCATTGATACAGTTGAAATCTATATAAAATATTACAATATAAAACAGTAAATAATAAAATGGCCGTAAAAATATTCAAACACATTTGAGCATTTGGAGGAGTTGTCCCTCTGTAATATTGAATATATCCAGTTCACAGTTCCTCGCCATTTTGTTAACTGTTTCGAGACANAATGGCTGCTTTAGGTTTCAGTGTATTAATAGCATTCTCAACCTCTTGTTCCTTAATATCATCAATTTCAATGATGTCTAGGTCGTACTCAGAAACTAGTGTGGGGTTTACCGGCACACCGCTATACGTGAAAGTTTTTTTTTTTCAATTACATTTATTTAATGTCGCATCAACCTCGAGGGTTATTAGCGACAATTCAAATTTCATAGTACATTGATTTCTTACAATAAATTTTCATATACGGTGCAGCAGCTTTATACGTCTTAGAAAGGCAATTAGTTTTTCATAGTTACAATTTTGTCCTAATGCTGCTTCAATTGAAGGGGGGATGTCGTACTCGACTCTCTCGTTGGAGTAAGATGCGCACTCAGATAAAATATGTTTAACACTTATGGCACAATCACAAACTTCACATGTAGGAGGGTTATTACCGTTGAGGATGTATTCATGAGTGAAGCGAGTATGCCCTAGTCGAAGACGTGATAGGATAACTTGCAATTTTCTCGTTTTTGGAAGTGATTTCCAGGGTAAGACCAATGGTTTGATTGTTGATAACTTAGAGTTGGAGCCATTCCATTGCTGTTGCCACACATAAGTAAGGATTTGTTTGTAAAACGGTTTCAGGTCAGGGTGGGCAATTCTTTTTTCAATATCTGTGAGTGGGTTAGTAATAGCATCCTTTGCCAGCTGGTCGGCCCTTTCGTTGCCTGCTATACCAACATGTGATGGAACCCACATAAAGTGGATATGTTTACGTTTCTCAATGATTGAATGGAGCTTATGTTTGATGTGAAGTATGATGGGGTATTCTGGGATTAGCTTCGTTATTGCCTCCAGTGTTCTCAGTGAGTCGGTAATTACCAAGAATTTTGAGTGTTCGCTTTTCTCTGCATATTCAAGTGCTTTCCATATGGCATAAAGTTCTCCTGAGAATACAGTGCTTTCTGCTGGTAGTTTGAAGGAGTGATTGGAGGATTGATGAATCCGCTAGACACGGATCATCAACTTCATATTTAGGTCATGAACCAGCTCTGGAGGTACCGAAATCACTGGTATGAAATCAGACTAGGACATGGCCCAATAATAAGCACACAGAGTACTGGACAAAAGTACCTGGCAACAAACACAGTAGAACCTTCATTAGGGAACCGTCCGAGAAAAGAACCGAAGAACTACTTCAATATAGTAGGGATCGGCTCAGAATAATTACAGGGTTACTGACCGGTCATTGTCTACTTAGAGGACACTTGAATAAAATGGGGCTGTGCAACGGAGATCTCAGCTGCAGATTATGCAACGAAGGGATAGAAACAGCTCTCCACATCTTAGGCGAATATGAGGCACTGAATCACAGGAGGCAGGCAATAAATGGAAGTACAAAATTACGTCCAGAAGAATATGACGAACATCCAACATGGAACTTGTACAAACTAGTACAGGGAACGAAACTGATGGAATGGGTGTCATGAGAAGATGGGAGAATAAACGCAATAAGCCCAAGAGGCTGCAGTGATTTTTGGAGACTTGGACTAAATGGACAAGTCAGACAGCTCCCAAGGGACAAAAAAACCTATGCCGTGCAGGGATTGCCTAGTTTAGGTCCCGGCTCATATAAATAAGAATGCACTATTAAAATAAAACCCAACCTAACCTAACTCCAAACCTAACCTTCAATTACTAGTACTAATATTAAATTTATATTATATTGAGAATATTTAAAAGTTGAATTAAAACAGTTGCTGAACCTAACCTAAGCTAACCAATATAAGTGCGCTGGGACCTAAAGTAGACAATTGCCTTTTAAACAGTCCTTACATGGACACATGAACATTCACCACCCGGAGTGGTGTACACGTGTAACCACCCCGTTAGGGGGGCGGAAACTGACCTGGTTTTTGCACGTACCAGTTCAAACACGGGCCATCGCAATAGTAAACAGAGCAGCGTGTCCTGCTGAGTTTCCAGACTAGTAAATCGATTTTCTGTACTACGATGGTGTGGGCCCGCCAAAGTATTCGCGCATGCTGCCGCGACCAATGTTGCCAACGCTGGCAAAATAATGTATCATCAAAGAACCCTTAGAAACGGAAGAGGTTTTCATCATATTTGAACTTTGCCAAATATCGTAGCGTAAAGTGTTCCTGAAGATGAATCCAGTGAGCCAATCTAGAAATAAGAAAGGACGTATTGTTTGTTATAGAGAAAAATTTAAAAATAGTTCGACTAGTTGGAGCAAAACATTTGGAACCTCATTCCACCCCGGGAGAATTTTTTTGCTTTTCTATTCCCTACTTTTGAATTGACATGATAATTATTATCAATTCAAACCATAACAGTACGACAGACAACCTCTAAAATAAGATCAAATAAAAGAAAGACACCCCTGTCAATATCCATATCAGTAAAAAATATTCAAAACTGGCTTGTTTCGTGAATTGATTCACTTTTTTAATCAAACTCTACATTAACTTTTTGATTTGTTTGATTCTTAACCTAATACTAACTGAATACTGACGAGGTACATTTTTACGAATGTTGATAAATGGATTATTATTGTTGTTTAAGCTGGTGTTTCCCAGGGATCCATATTGTCTCCAACCCTCTTTTTATTGTTTATCAACGACTTGCAAAAAACGAAGAATCCAACATATTGCTCTGCTAACGACAACACACTTGTCTCATCATTCAATTTGGATTCCAAGACATCGGCTGCGGATGCACATCTTCAAGACATCGGCTGCGGATGCACATCTTCACTGGCCGCAGGAGGTTGCACATCTCAATGAGAATTTAAAGGTGTTTTTGAATTGGGTTGAAAGTAAGCAGGTTGGGCGTTGAACTGGACACCAATGAGTCTTGGCACANGGCATCCTACCGACTGCGCCAGTGTGATGTTTTATGATAATTAAATATTCAATTCAGGTAAAGATTGGTGATTTTTAATAAACAAGATGATTGGAAACCAAATGGTTTCTTTTTCTGGCGACTATTTGTTTGGTACAGAGTGGTCTGTTAAAGGTGAGCACAATCAACTCCAAACAGTACATTCTTCACTAAAAGAAACATCTTTAATAAAATTAAATTATGTTATTATTCAACATAGATAGGTGAAAAACATTTCAAAAATATAACAAGAAATAAAATGTTGCCAAATAAAATGTACAAAAAATATCACAACATTTCCCAAAAAAGGAACAATGCAAGAAGTAAAAATCTAAAATCTTATGAAGTCTCGTGAGGAATGCCAAAATCTTTTTCATTAATAGTTCCCGTCGCGTAGGTTTGTTCGAATAACATCTTCTTGTATTCGTCTTCTATCTTCAAAACAATTTTTAGCCAATTCTCAGCATCGGCAACTAGTTTGCTGAATACCACTTTGTTTTTCATCAGGCATTCTTCGAAATGTTTTCTCTTCAGTCGGTAAACTTGAGTTGTTTCTATGGCGATTACGGTAGTTACCGATAGTTGGTTCTTCACCACCATAGAAACTTCGCCAAAATATGCGCCATCTTGTAAATGACATATCTGAAAAAGGAGAAAATTGGTCAATCATTTATATAGAGTCTTCCAAAAGGGATCTCCGAACTTTGACAATTAATGACGAGAGGACTACCGACAGGACTATTCGTTCAGTAAACGATCGACCAACACCTGTACGTCGACGAAACTTAAGATATGCCGAAAACGACGCAGCTGTCTGTGAGAGTGTGCAGGAGAATACGAAGCAGTCGATTTTGCGTCCCTCACAAGAACATGGCCTTTCGCAGACCACAACTTGGTGAATTTCGCTTCGTGACTTGGGCCTGAACCCGTACAAAATTCAACTGTCTAGGAACTGAAGGTGAAGAACGACCATAGACAACGACGTGTGTTGGCAACTGACCTTAATTTTTGTTGAAAAGTAATTTCCAGTGATGAGGCCCACAATATCAATCCACATGAGATCCAAAAGCGTCCAATTGGAGCGTCCAAATTGCACCACAATACGGTCCTTGAGGAGTACCGTTATTTATAAAACATCGGTCAGATATCACTTCATTTATCTGAGCAATCTATATTGAGGAAATTAATGCAACGGTTAGAAACCTCGAGCAAGAAAATCAAGCGCTGAAAAAAGAGGTTGAATATGTAAGAACAATATAGTTGTTTTTGGACTGAATGAACCAAGAGAATATTTATAAAGACTTCAAAGAGTTACTGGAGGTTGAGCTATCAGAAACAAAGTTTAATGATATATATCCCTTAGGATATATCCCTTAGTAAAAATAGATTCATTTCGACAAGTATTCAAATTGATGTTTCAAATATTGGGTTTTAATTTTTAAAGGGATGCGTTTCAAATTCAAATATTGGCAACAGCGCCTATATCAAGTTGAAATAATTTATACGTACCTATATATTCTACTTTAAAAAAGGAAAATTATCTTTATAAATTAACAATTAGGGCCAAATATAAATTATAGTTCAATACCACCTTCACAAGCCACATAAAAACAGTTGTTTTGTTATTTATTTATATAGAGGAAGATATGTTAGGTTCACAACAATGTCATCTGTTACAGAATGTCTCGGAACTCGGAACATAAGTAAACAGAATAGTACGCCTCTGAAATATGTCATCTTTGTTTGTCTCATACAGGTAACAGATTCATTGTCCTTTATTAGCTATAACCGATGTTGCCAAATGGTGAAATAGAAACGAATCCCTTCATATGTTGAATTCATTATTTCATTCGTCTTTTTTAAGTATTTACATAATTTTTTAAAGAAAAAGGTTGAAATGATAAGTTGTGATAAGTTGAAATGTGTTGTTTTAGAGCTCTTTTATGAAAACTACTTGATTTTCGTCAGGAGGAACATTCCCCATTGTCCAGGATCTTACTCACCATCAGAGGGAAGAAAATTCTCAAAAAACATCTACTTCTTGCGAAACAAGGAAATCATTGTGAATGTTATATAAAAAATAACAGACTGATAGTTGACGGTGAAGTTTATGACATTAATGATCTGAATAACACAGAAAACAACAACAAACCAAACAGCGCCCCGACAACTAACTGTAACTGTCGCCAAAGTCTCGTCAGAAGATTCTGTTACTCCCATTTTCGGAAAAAAACAGACAGAGACAAAACTACGAACCCCCATTGCTCAACAAACACTAGTGAACTAGCAATAAAATCCAGACTTCCTTGGAATAATAAAAAAAATGGAAATGGAATAGTATCGAAAATGAGGCAAGCATGATTCACAACAAAATCATTCACTATCCCTATAATTCCCATTGCCATAAATTGTTTCAAAGGATGTTTTATTTAAGAGTGCGTATAACTTTCACCGGATAGATTCTGCAACATTTTTTTGAGATCATAACCTGTAATGAACGAATGTTTTCCAAAAAAAAAACGAAAACTGTACAAAAATGCAATATACAAAAGAAATGGTTCAATGCAGACTTAAGAAACTACAGAGAGAACCTGAATTTTCTGATCGAATATAACAAAAGTAACCAGAACGTTGATTTGACACCAAGATTATCAAAAATCCGTAAACAAACCTAGGGTCATTTGGCAGATCATCAAGCAGCCCCTCTCTAGAGAATCCCCACAAGATACCCGGTTATCATCTAATGATTTGAATGATTATTTTGTAAACATTGGTAGTAGCAATATTTTAAAACAGCTAACAGCTACTCCGGTTGATCCAGCGAAACTTACTTCATCTTATATACAATTCCATAAAAGTATTTTCTTCACGCCTGTAGACTCCACAGATGTTGAAAAACATGGAAGAGGGATTAGTAGAACCACTCACCAAAATAATAAACAAATAAATGCTTTGAGACAGGTGTATTTCCTGAGAAGCTTGAATTCAGTAAAGTGACCCTGTATTTNGAGACAGGTGTATTTCCTGAGAAGCTTGAATTCAGTAAAGTGACCCTGTATTTAAAAAAGGAGACAACTACCGTCCCATCTCAATACACACTCGACTCTACTCGATAAACTACCGTACTATGGAATTAGGGGGACAATAACTGATTTGATCGATTCCTACTTATCCGAACGAAAGCAGGTTGTGGAACAAAATAGTGTGAGATATCCAGCAGTGAGTGTAACAGCAGGGGTGCCTCAAGGGTCAATCTTGAGACCCCTACTATTCCTAATATATGTTAATGATATTTCACATCATATGAACCCCTTCAATACGATTCAGTATGCCGATGACACTACTATTCACGAAAGTCACCCTGAACATGAATGTCCAAAGCAACTGACTGACAATGCGTTGAAAAAAATCGAAAATTTTTTCGCAGCCAATAAGTTCACACTAAAAGAACTGAAGGGCAGTCAAAAATCCATTAAGTTTTTGGGGGTAACGCTGGATCAAAAACTGAATTGGAAAGACCACATCAAAGATCTCTCTACTAAGCTGTCCAGCACTCTCTACCTGCTTCTTAGAATTAATGAATTTGTTCCCTCATATGTTTCGAGAGCAGCCTACATGGGGTTATTTCAGTCTAAGCTATCATACGGATTAGTTTTTTGGGAAAGCCCGTTCGATTGATGACTTATTTATTTTGTAGAAATTCATTTGAATATAGAATAAAGAAAATACTTTTGTCTAGTTTCTACTGTGGTCGTAGCGAATAAACACAGTAGAAACTAGACAAAAGTATTTTCTTTATTCTATATTGATTGGGAAAGAGATGCTAAATCTGTTACATTGATAATAAGCAAATAAATTGATTGATTGATTGAATTGAACGGAGAAAATTAGAAATGCTCCATACCTCTTTTCCAGAATGTGAGTATACTGCCACTGTTCCACTGGATACGAAATACATCGAATCTGAAAATAATCCTGACTGAATGATGGTGTCCTTTGGCAGGAAAATTTCAGAGATCAGTCTCGAAACCAGTCGGCTTATCTGATCGGGAGGCAGATCAGCAAATAGGTTCACGTTGGCGATCAGTGACTTGCAAACGTGGATGTTCACTTCTCGTTTCAGGTTTGCTGTGAACAGAGGATGACATTCAATTCCATTGGGAAGTTCATAAATCTACGACACAAAAATTTTAGAAGAAAACGGTACATGTGATTTCGACTAATTGACGGCTCCACAAATTTGTCTTTCAAAGAGTATCTGCGATATTGTGGAATTTCACTAAATTCAATTTTAGTCGGTTTCTACACCTACCACAAAGCAGATTTGTTATCATGTCCTCCTTGAAAAAAATTCTTTGGTATCTGAAATCGTAGTATTTGGATATCTTGTCTCTCAAATTTAAAGGTAGTTGCTTCTGCTTCATATATTCGTCGAGTTGGTTTACGATTTCAAGGAATTTCAGTTCCATAGATCTTGCATTTAAAATTGCGACTGCAAGAATTACTGAAATAGAAATATATGATGTAGTGGGAAATTTAGGAAAACAAAGGTACATCTCACTATTGATGAGGTTGGCTATATGACAAATCGTGTTCGAATCAATGAAACATGTCGATGTAGATGAAGGTGAATCGTTAAGATAATATTCGTTGAAAAAAATAATATACACAAAATCTTCATGAACTAATACAAAATAGCAGGGGAGCCCATGATGCAAAATGGGGATTTACTCGAGCGTCATTGAGACATATTAGGTTGCAAAGCTCAGATGATAAGAAGAAAACAAATGTTATATACTATGAATTTTTTCATCGGTGGGGAAAGCAGCTATAGATTTTTAAATACTCGAGCGCGTCAGATATTGATAGCATCAATGTCCTACGTATTTTTAATAATGTTGGTATGTTAATCTGATACTTTGCATGATATGGGTGGTTGTACGTAAGGGTTAAAAGTGAAAAGAAAATGTTCTGTTCAAACAAAAAATACAAAACAAGCACGCATTGAACTTTATCGACGAATTTTTGTTATTTCGGCTTGCGGAAATCGTTAGATAATAATCTGATATATTTTCCGTTATCCTTGAATTATATCCTTCAAAATAAAAAAAATTTGCTACGCTCGAGAATGTCGAAGTGTCGTTATTTTTTTACAACTTTGCTGCCCTCCCCTTTCTTCACGTCACTCTCAAATTGTCAGATTACTGGAATATACACTTTTCAGCAGGTAATTAACTTACCCCACCTTAATCTGACGCGCTCGAGAATTTCTGATGATACATTTTTTTTACTAATTTGATCCTTTACCCCTCACAGGCGGCCTTATATATGGGGCTCATATTTGGTGGAGGTACTTAACCGGGTACAAGGTATCCCCCTGTATATTAATCTGCCGCGCTTTAGTAAATCCTGAAATCCCCGCTTGGGCTCCCTTATTAAAAAGTGTGGAAATAATCTATAACCTTGAACAAGGATACTGATGTGACATATGAAATGTGACACAAAGTTAAGAATTTTGTGACTGACATGTTACAACAACAACAATGTTGTCCACAATCGTACAAATGTTATGAGAGACATCTACTGTGGTAGTATAGGCATTGGTTTGTCCTACAAGGCTGTGCATTACGCTTTTTGACAAATATGTCATAGGAATTCCTGTGTTATTCTATATGGTTTTTTATATTTCATGCTGTGACTACTTTAGGGACTTTTATCACAAACATCCAGATCTTTTTACGTGTTTTGGGGTTTTTCTGAATTGATCATCAGCGTCATTTCTTCATCCACTTTGTAAATAGTCACTTTCATCCTCTGTCTGAGTTTTTCCACATTGTCATCATAGTTACTGAGTATTCTAGATACTTCATTAGGCATCGATTTGTGTTTATTTTCGTACGCAAAATTCCCATTTTCCAGATGTATCATTCCTTCCGCCCCTTTACTGTTTTCAATTTCCGTTATTTGTTGCTAGCTAATTTTTGGTGAAATTTCGGCTATTTTCCATATTGGGAGCTTCTTGTTTTGACATGTATTCTGTTTATTTCACTTAGAAATATCAATAAATTAGCCTTTTTTGCGGTTTCCAATTTAGCATTACGTTTACGGTCTGTGGCAGGGGAATGGGTTAGAAGCTTCTGGAAGATACGCTGTAATGTATTCTCAACGGCAGCATCCTTCACATATAATATTTGCTCGACTTCATCAACGATAACGAAAATATGGTTCATTCGACAAAAGAACGCAGGATTGTGGTCGCCATCGATAAGTACGAACACTACAGCTTGAGGAAGCAGTACTTAATTTGATTGAAGAACAACCTACTACCAGTACTAGAAAGGCTGCTTTCCAGCTAAATGTTGATCATATGACGAGTATGGCATTGAAAATGTAGCTGTGATGCAGATCTAGTAAAAAGTGCATTAATTGGACAATTTTATTCTTAATGAAATATACTTACTCCATATTGAAGCGATAATAATTTTTCCCAACCAGTAAGTCCCTATGGCTACAAAATAATCCGAAGTGATATGTATTTTATAAGTGTCTATTCTCATACCTAAAATAAAAAATTATCGGTTTTGTCATTTCTTCGGAACATAATACGGTACAATTAGGTCAATGAAAGAGTACACATGCGTCATTAATTTGTACATTCGATCTGAGCTGACAAACTTATGAAAACTAAGCGATAGAAATTCTGGAAATTTACTAATAGTTCATAACTTTATCAATCATTCTGTGAAAACACGTTTTTATTCCATTTTTCAACACCGATATTTGGCAATTGAACTGTGATAGTGTGCAGAACAGCAGACAGTACCATTTGAGGTTGAGATTTATGATTACGACATAAAATTCACTTACTGTGGAATATAAAATGCCCTTGTCATCAGTTGTGAAAACAAATATGCGTCCAGTAAAAAATATTAAAACTGTAGAAACTTTTTAACAACCAAAATGTACATACGTCAGCAGTTAGTCCCAAAATCTAAGAAATTAACGACACCTCAAGTTCATATGAATATATTTCTTCTCTAATTATCTGATTAATCTTCATTTTTCACTCGTAGAATGAAAATATGACGTATTTTATTGATGACGAATCTGTAAAAATTTTTTTTCATAATTGTGAATGTTCTGATTGAAATTTACGACATAGCAAAACATGGAAAAAAATAAGGTGAATTTTAATCTTTCTCAAAAAATATTTATTTATTCGGACTGTTTGGCCCGAAACCGGTCTACAATTGTGTTTCAATAATTGAAAATCTATTGCGGCAGTTGTATTACCAACAGCATATGCAGGAATAACTTCAGTGAAGAATCCTGCACAGACACCTGTCGGATATAATCTAACGCCCTCCGTGCTATTAGCCAGGGGAGTAGTTGTTTTCTGATGATTTGAAATAAATATATCCTATTCTAATTTAACATACCTAACATTTCCGATGATCCTTTGAAGAAGCAGTGGATATATTTTTCCAATAGGCGCTTTTTATATATTCCGTTTTGGTATATCCAACTTTCCTCAAAAGGGTGGTTGGGGTCATAAAAATATCTTCCTGTGAGTCGAGGTACGATGAATTGCATGCAGGACATCCAGTGGATCAGAAGAAAGGTAATCAAAATGGAAGTGAATAAGAAACGAATCCCCGTACTTTTCATTTGAAAGTACTGAAAAACATTCAACGCAAAAAGTCACTTTTTTATAAAAATTAAATCTGTTTAAGAATCTGTCTGTTTAAAATCTGTTTTTCCGTTAACGACAACCCTCAGAAGTCAGGATTAACGAGGTCTTACCTTTTAAGGTGAGATTTCTAACACGGGTTGGACGATAGCAAGTGAAAATCGAAAAAGTTTAAAAAACTGTTTTAGGGTCAATAAATCCCAATAATTCTTTTTAAAGCACACACAAAAAAAGTAAAACCTAGTAAGGGTAACTCACATAGGAAATTTACAGTAAATGTTCAAAATTTGCGCCATTTTGCTCCATACAACAATAAAGATTTTGTTCAAATTTTGCTCTTACATCAATAATTCTACGACGAAATTTATCCAAATTGGCTGGCTGTGTAGCATACACTTTAGACTTTAAATATCCCCACAAAAAGTAGTCCAGTAGTGTTAAATCTGGTGATCGTGCTGGCAATTCAATTGGACCTCTTCTGCCAATCCATTGTCCTTCAAAATGATTATTCCAAAAATTTCGAAGCTGCTGGTCATAATGGGGTGGTGCACCATCTTGTTGAGAATGGATAAATTCATCTCGACATCTTGGATGCTGTTCAATTATTTCAACTATTCAAGGTTGTATTGCCTTTTCAAGAACTTCGATTCAAAAAATGAAATTGGAATCTATCTCCTTTTCCATTCTCAAAACACTTGCCCTTCAACTCTGACTACTTTTTCCTAACTAGAGACTTAGGACCTTTATTCAAAGTGCGAAGGAGAAACGCTTCAAAAGAGAAAAAAATGTGGTAGAATTTGCCTTGAATATTGAACCTCAAAGTATCCACCATATAACAATAACATTGGCAAAAATTAAGGAGATTATCACCAATGACTTTCTTTCAAATCCTATAAAGTTTGGTGAAGAATGTATTGATAACCTTAAGGAACGGGATGATCTAAATTCAGAAATAATATTAGGAATTATTGACTAGGCTATGAATATAGCCAGTCTTCAAGTATGCTCACTGACTATATGTGACAAGTTTTCTTTCCTTATACGAGGAAATTGACAAATTTCGGATATGCGGTTGGTTACCTCGTTCACAGGCAGATGGGGCGATGACAAACCTGTCGTTTGTTGTCCGCTTCAACCTAGTTCGAGAAACGATACTCTGAAGGAATTCGATTTTCAATTATCGGAAATCAACGACTTCTGTTGATGATAGACACACTCTTTGGCCACTGACTGACACTCTTTGTCGATTTATTCCTGGTAGTGAATTTGATAATAAAACGTCAATTAGAGGTAATAGGAAAATTGAGAAACTTACAGGCACAAGACCAATTATAACAGATCAGTGTGTAAAGTGAGTGGAAATGAAGCATATTCTTGAGGTGAACATAATGTAAATAAATATGTCTTCTTCGTCGACCTAATCAAAGGTTAAAGTAACGCCCTAACTAAAATACATTTTCTTCAGATTCTGGGGACTTCCTGTTTATAGCACCAGATTCTTGATAACACTATCTATTCCTCAATAAACAAAGAGTGAATTTTTATTTGCTTTCTGATTGTTACGGATCATTTCATCTGATTTATTGACTTTCATTGTTGGAACTGATAACGCTACGACAAATATGGCACGTACCTGTATTGTATCATTTTAGAAACATCTATTTTACTGGGCATCTAATCATACTGGTTACTTTCAGTTTAAAACATTTCATAGGTGATATTACTCACCCTTGATTCCATATGCTGTTCTCTCCAGCATATATACAGGGTGTAACTAAATAAGTGTAAAATATTTAAGAAGGTACTATTTTAATGGCTCGTCAACGGCGTCCTCATGGGATATAGAGGGTAGACATATCTCAATGATTTTGTGGGTGAATTACAGTGCTATTTGCGTGAGACGACTATGTGCTTTCTTTGATGTAGCGACATGTTTACATTCATGAAATTCTTTTACTCTCAGACAATATTGAACGAACTATAGTAAGTATGAATTCGTGTGATTTACCTTTGATAGCCGGTTGATCAGTTCTACCACAGTAAATATCCTGAAGAACTTCAATAGACCTATTATATTAATAACGCCAAGGAAAGGTTTCGCCGGCTTCCTTACAAAAAAATAGGGAAGATTTCTTGGTATCGAGGATAACACATCGCAAATAAAGTAGGGGCTGTGGATATAATTTCTGCAACAAAAAAGTGAGATATTTTATATACTGCAGCGTGAGTTGGTCTCGAAACGTTGTCTGTCGTTTTGGTGCATTTATAAAGTTACTTGAAGACATTGTTTTTCCAAAAGAAAAGTTCCGTAGTGGATACTAACATAGATGCATTCCTCATACAATTATCTTTACAATGATGTAGTCACACTTCGGACATTTCCTATTCAAATTCTCAGGATGATGGTCACCGTAAGGCGGGAAAAGAATATGACAGTTGAGGTTATGATAAAAAGATTTTTCCCCTTGATTTGAAAATAGACCCGGTACTGCTTCTTTATCCCAACAAATGTGTCTTGAAGATGTTATTAAAAGATTAATGACATCTATTTGAAGAAATGAGTGAAACACTTCTCAGTTTAAGGACGAAACACAAGAACTACAGGAAAATCCTTAAGAAGCCTGTGAGAAAATAGCGATTCACGTTGGAACGTTGGATTTGAATCGCTGGAGATTAAATTCATTTGGAGAAACGTTTTCAGGAAGTTTATTCCACATAAACGCAGTTCTCCAAATGAAAGAGTTCTTAAACAGTGAAGTTCGAGGTGTACTGAGTTGAACCTCAAAACGATGAGGAGCCACAGTCCGTCGCGTATTTCTGATATGTACCGCTCTTGGTGGAATCAAATGTGCCAAGTCACTTGAATACTTCCGTGAAAGTATCTATAGAAGACAGCGGCGGCTCTCGGAGGAGGCAAGGGAGGCTTAGCCTCCCCATAAAATTTGAGGCAATTCATCGCAATGAATTAAAAGATATTGACAAATAATTATGATTATTTTTTTCTAAAAATGCTTGGGTGTCATTACTTTACCATTCATTTTTAATATAAATATATAATATGCCCGAAAATACATTATCACTCACTGCGTAGTACGTACCACTCTGTATCCTCCATCAACAAAACCCAAACGCACCGTCCCTGAACGAATAACGAGTGAACTATCAACCCGAAATGATAAATGTCATACGTTGCAAGGGAGCCAAGCCTCCGACCGCTTTGAAAAACACAGGCTCCACGAGACCGATCCAACCAGCGACATTCATCCCAATTTGTAATTTCAGTTGCAGAAGTTATAGCGTCAGAGGAGGCTAGCCTCCAGTTGGTCTCCGTTAGTGTACGACTGTGTATGTTTTTCATTTAATTATTCGGACGGGATACCGGGACTAAAAAATATTCCGGTAAATCGTTTTAGTGTTTCTTGATAATATTTGTTATTTATGTATGAAACAGGCTGTATTATATTATAGCAGTGCTTTTTGGTAATATCTTCAATGTGTTTTCAAAGTGTTCTTTCAATTTTAAGGTGTTTTCAGGTTTTCACTATTCGGTAAGTTTTTTTTTCATTTATTATGGATACGTTGGACGAAATTAAAAAATCTATCCAACCTTTCTTCGATGCTCCAGACTATGAAGGTTGCACGTGATGTTCGCGTCTCCAATCAGGCGGATGGCTCTTTTCTGGATGGAATGCAGCAACTTCAGGGTATGTTTTGGGGCAGAGCTTCATACATGAGAACAATACTCCAAAGAAGGTCTGACCTGAGCTTTATAAAGTATCGAAAGTTGCTGAGGTGTGTACAGTTTTCTGGTTCGGAACAGTGTTCCAAGCTTTCAAAAAGCAGCGTTTGCAATTCCAGCGACATGATTGTGCCAAGACATATTTGTGTCCATTTTAACCACCCAGCATCGAAGCAGAAAGCGGAATTGTTCGTCCTGACATTATTATATCCGGTTTGGGGACATTTAACTTTTTGGAGAAAACTGATGCCTGCGTGGCATTGAATTGAACCTTTTTTACTTTCACCCCAATTTGAAATCACCTCTAGATCTTCGTTAAGATATGCAACCTCCTGCCTGCTGCCGGTGAAGATGAGCATCCACATTCGTTGGCCTGGAACCCAAATGGAATGACGAGACAGGTGTACTGTCGTCAGCAAAGCAATATATTGATTTTTTTTTCCAATAAATCGTTGATATACAATAAAAACAGGCTTGGGGACAATATGGATCCCTGGAAAACACAAGCGTTGATGTAAAAGTATTCGAGATATCCATCGACGGTCAATTGCAGAGATAGTTCTTTCAGGAAGCTGGAGAGCCATACACAAAAATGATTCGTCAAGTCATAGCATCGAAGTTTGGCCATCAAACCCTCATACCACACACGGTCAAAGGTTTTAGAGATATCAAACGCAACAGCTCTTGACTTTTCGTGTTTGTCAATTGCGTTATTCCAAAGATGGTTGACATACGATAGAAGGTCGCCTGTTGATCTTTCTTTCCGAAAGCCATATTGATGATCGCTCAAGATGTTGAAACTTTCCAAATATTTAAGGATATGGTGGTTCACAGCTTTCTCCATCATATTTGTTATCACTTATAGCAGAGCAACTGGTATATAGTTATTTGAAAGATTTTTATTGTCCTTTCTGGGAATAGGCTGGACGTGACCAATCTTCCAACAAGAAGGAAAAACTCCTTCCTTGTAAGACAGGTTGAAAAGTCTGCAAAATATTAGTGTAAATTCATTGGCGCCCTTTTTAAGTACGATTACTGGCCCTTTGTTAATATTAAGCTGTTTCAAAATTCGCCTATATCGATTATTCCTTTCAAATATTCGAATATCCTATCTATAATATATATAATTCACACTTACTTTGCTATCGGCATTCGACGTAGTTCTATTTTATTTCTTTTTTTTACTGCAAATCCTGTATTGAAATTCATCAAAATGTCGATCCAGCACAGTAGATCTAAAATCACAGAGGCAACTCTGTGACCTCTGTACATTTCTTCTTGACTTCTAGCGAATGCCGAATCAATGGGTTTACTAATCAGATTTGCTATGTAGAGAAAAATCAAGTAAAATTCGTACCATGTCCTAGAAGAAAAGTAAATAGGAGTGTTATTTACAAAGTTACGGCCCTTCAAAGTTCAGAAAAAGGCGACTTTTCAGCCTTTTTTTTTCACAAAATAAACTATTTAAAAACACAAGCATTTATTCACTAGGTCACCTTTACACCTTATTCCTCCTTCTTCGACACTTTTCATTTCAATAATCAAGTTTTCCAATGAAAATATAAAAAAATGTACGGAGCTGCTTTTTGTTTACATATCTCTGTATTTTACGTTTTTAAGGTTAATTGCATGGTTGGTACGACTGATACAGTCAATATTTCTGAAGTAATTCAAATGTTTTTTACCTTTATTCTTTAGATCGTAAATTGGTTTTTAGTGGTGTATTACGAATTTGAAATAGTAGGCGACGGCAAATACCAACCGCTTTTTTCTGAAAAGTCACTAGTAACTAACCTAGAAATAGAAATATGTCACCAGGAGAAGCATTCGTTTTTGAATTAAGTTTTTTATTAAAAAATGTTGATTATTGAAGTGAAAAGTGTTAAAGAAGGAGGAATAAGGTGTAAAGGTGACCTAGTGAATAACTGCTTGTGTTTTTAAATAGTTTATTTTGTGAAAAAGAAGGCTGAAAAGTCGCCCTTTTCTGAACTTTGAAGGGCCGTAACTTTGTAAATAAGGGAGAGCGCCGCGTTTTTCTCTCGGATTAGTAATCTACGCATCAAAATACGTAAGAACACTCAACTAAAATTTACCCAAAAAAATCATAGTTTCATCAACTGAAGAAGAATTCCATGATTCTACAGCTGAAGTGTGAAAGCAAAACACTCCTTAAAATTTGCATCTTTTTCCGATTTCACAGAACTTTATTATGAATTGTAGAGTTCAAAAAACTGTACTTGGAGTGTATTTCATGTGAAAAAGTCCCAACAATGCGGAAACTGCAAATATTGATCTAAAATGATATGGAGAGATGAGAGGGACCCTGGATAAAATCAATTTTTTTTGACATTTCAGAGTTTTGAATGACCAGTCAGTATACATTACAAGTAACAGTGAAAAATGTTGCATCTCCGGTAAATTACGTGTTAAAGTACTTACCACAACTTCACAACAAAATTTACCTGAATAAACTCAAGGGGTGGATAACCAATACTTTATGTAAATTAATCTGCCGGATTTTTTCGGCTTTCAGGGATTGTTCACTTCTGAAATACTCGGCATTCAGCGGGTTGCTTGAAGATATCAAAAAATATTTTGTCAGCTTCGATGCACAAGTAGATTTGCCAAATAATTCTGTTGATTCATTTTTCTTTCTCAGTTTACACGAATGATGAAGTGACATTCTGGAAAGAGTACTTTGACATGTGACATTGACTATTATGGAAAATGCAAACTCGAATATACAGGGTGTCCCTGGACTTCCTCTTTTCCTCTCGGGAATGTATAGATGGGGTCAAAATATCACCAGTACTTCATATAACTTTTTTTCCTAAAAGTCTTCGTAACCAAGTTACGGGCCCTCGAAGTTACAAAATGAAAAATGTTTTTCTTTGATAACTTTTCAAGTGAATATTCAAAATCATCCAAATTTTGGTAATTGACTAAACAAATGAATTCC